AAATTCAGTCAAACTTCGTAAAGAGAAATAAGAAGAGCATTAGATGACGGATGGAGTATATCAATAGTAGATCTAACTATCAGCTTGTTTAGTAGAAGTATCTTGCCATTGTTTACTTTGTTGGGGTTTGGTGAATGAATAAGTGTGTTTCAGTTTCAAAGAAAAAATGAACTACTATCTTGTTGAGTATTCTTTCAATTTAAAAATTATGAATCAAACTTGATAATTTTTTATTAATTAAATAAAAATCTTGAGTGTATTTGTACAAAAATAATTTCATTACAATATTTTTGGGGAAAAGATTTAAAAATTTATTTATCATAGTAATATGAAAAATTGCACTGAATAGGACTAAACCATAAGTCATTTCTCAGTGTAGGACTTAAACTTTTTTATTCTCTAAATAGGACTTAATATAACTAGTGAGAAGAATAATGTCCAAGTGATGTTAGAGATTAAGTTGAATAATGACTAATAGATAATGACCAATGGTCCTACACTCGGAATAAAAACATATGGTCTTATATTGAGAAAATCATTATGTTTTAGTCTTATTTAGATAAATAGGAGAGGCTATTTAATGAAAATCGGACCGGACTGGCCGGTCTAACCGGTTAGACTGCGAACCGTACACCAATTGGGTCCGGTTCAATGTTAAAACCCCTTTGTTTTCGACCCGTTGAAACCGGGGAACCGGTGAACCGGATGCCCGGTTATCGACCCGTTGAAACCCGGGAAACCGGTGAACCAGATGACCCAATCGGCCCAGCGAGTTCACAGGTTTAGACCAAAATCAACCTTTCTACTTATCTATATAATAAAAAATAGAGTACAATGGTGGGTTTTGAACCGAGAAGGCAACAGTTGGCAGGAAGAGAAAATCCACTTATGCAACCGCCACTTTTGTTTACAAACATGCAATATTTTATATATCGCCTAAACTTATGTAGAGAAAGAACTACATAATCAGTTTTATATATCATTTAAAAGACTTCGAATAATTAAAAAAAGAACTATGTTGATATAATATATTTATTTTATCAACTTTTAAACTAGTTCAATGTCAATGTTAAAACAATTAGTATTATGTATTTTCTATCTTTAGAAAATATAACTAATCAATACTTAAAATAATATTTCTATCTTTAAAATATTAATTATACTTTAATATGCTACATTTCTTTTTAATCAATGAAATATAAACTTTATAATGTCAATAATATAGAAGAACATATTATCTAGTCTTTATTTATTTTTGAAAATATGAGTATTTTTTTTACTATTTAAGTATTTATTAGACATTCACTCTGAACTTTTAATAAAAATAGAAACTATTAAATTTTATATTCACAATGATATTAATTGAAAATATCTAATAATATAATATATAAAAATAAGTATATTAATTATATTTGACCGGTTTATTGACTCCCGGGTTGACCGGTCCGACCGGTTAGCCAACCCAGGTCGACGGCTGGTTTAGTACATTGGTCGTAGAGGAACTTCACTTTCCCTTTTTATTGTCAAAAGTTTCTATTGCCTTTTTATGGTCGTAGAGGATTAAATATGAAAATCCTCATGTTACAAAGGACCAATTCTAGAATTTACTTATTTTAAAACATCTAAACCAATCTTAGCCAAAATAGTACGGGTGGGGGCCGATCTTGTCTGACAGGTCTTTAAGCTCATATTTAATCTAAATTCTCCACAAATTCAGCTAATTTATAGAAAAAACTAAACCCTCACCCCAATGCAATTTATAACTATTATCCCATAATGTTATTTAAAAAATAAATCAAATATAACACAAACAAAAAGTGATTAAAATGGCTACAAACCCTAGCACACTTCTCTTCTCCAATTCACATAGAGTATGAACACAAAAACCAAGAGAAAGTATGAATTTGGGAAGAATGGGTATGTTCTAAAAAAAGGAAAAATGGGTGTTGATGGGGAATAATACGTGGCTCAGTCTACATTTCTCAATTTGATTACAAAGAGTAATCAAACCGGACTTGTTTAATAAAATGGATGAATAAGAGAATATTCCCCCGTATATGCTCATGCGAGTCCTATAAAATGAAGGCTCTCTTTCATCAAAGGGGAGGCCAATTGACTGCTTCTCTGCCCAACTTCCTCTCCCTCTCTGGAGTATTATAAATTTTATTACTTCAAAGAAGCTTCAAACTTCCATTAATGGCTTTCGAGTCCAAATCATGTACCGTGTACAACCCCCGATACTAATAAAAATCTTCCATAGGTAATGTATCGCCAAAAAAAGCTCGTGGTTTTCTCTTGATTGGGGTTCCACGTCAAAATCCTTGTGTTTGTATTTTTAGACTAGTTTATCGTTCTTATCTGGCTAACAACGATATACTGGTCGAAATAATTTACACCATCATTTTTATGATGACCGTGGGACCCGAGCAATAGCCATGTTACTCTGGCCGGGGAGTTATCAATCATTCCCAACAAGGCCGTTGAAGCCTTCATTACCGTTAATTTCAACTTGAATTTTATCAAATCATGTATGTAGAACATATTCAAACATCACAAAATAGTAAGATTAAATATGAAAAAAATGAATTCTAATTCATAGGTTGCTTGAGAAGTTCAGATTTAAAAAATGAATTCAATAGAAGAAAAAATACCACTTTAAAATGACAGCATCCTCGTTGAATTAGTGTGACATCGTTGACCTATGACAAGAATCCAAAATCGGCAAATTTTCCATACACCGAATATTAGAGGAAGAGAATGGACGATTCTCCCATACTTATAAAGAAATTTCAATAGAAAATCTTGTCCTTGAATCCCTGCCCTATGATGCGTGATAGTCAGGAGTTGTTGCATGAATGTAATCGTCACATGTGTTGGAGTCAAAACCCTAGCCCCACACAGCAAATCGTCCTCCCTGCATTGTTATCCCATCTATCACCGTCGTCTCCCTTCTAGCGCTAGGGATCTCCAGGCCAAAGCTTAGCGCACGATCAGTCGTTGGAGAAGAAAAATCAGGCACGGTTGAGAGCTAAGCGTAGTTCTCCTGATTTGTGTGGCAAGAACGATGGGGTCTGCCCTTATCCGCGAGAGATCGTGCGTTTGCTTTGGATTGTGGGCCAGATGGTTGATATAACATTTGGGCGGCAAATTTTTCCTGCTGCTGTTGTAAATAGAGGGATAAAAGGAGGGCTCTCCTTCATCAAACTATCAAAGGGGAGGCCAATTGACTCCTTACTTGCCCAACTTCCTCTCCCTCTCTAGAGTATTATATATTTTATTTATTAAAAAAAGCTTTAAGCTTCCATTAAAGGTTTCTGAGCCTAAATCATGTACCTTGTACAACCCTCAATATTAATAAAAAAAACCCCGTTGGCAAGGTACCTCAAAAAAAGGTCCGTGATTTTCTCTCGATCGGATTTCCACGTCAAAATCTATGTGTTTGTATTTTGGTGTATTTTGTTAGAATAGTTTATCGTTCTTGCCCGGCTAAGAACGATATACCTGTCGAAATAATTTACCCCATCAAGTGTAGAATGTAAAAAGCAGTTAGGTAGTAGGAATAACAAATTTTTTTGAGTTATGATAGGAGCATATCGAATGGTGTATCCCATTTGTATACCATCATTCTCTACCATACATTTTTAAATAATTTTTATAAAAACAAAAAATGTGTGGGGGAGAAGTCTTGGGGTAAACTTTTTGGTATATTCCTAGCATTTTTAAATTTTTTACGGCAATTTCCCCCCCCCCCCCAATCCCAAGCTGTATTTTATTGCTATAATAATAATATGACTGTCTAATACTCCCTCCGTCCTAAGATAATATTCTCAGTTCAGTTTACAAGCTAAGGTTTGACTGAAAATCATTTCATTTCAATTTATTTGATTATAGGTGTAAAATTTAAAAATATAAATTATATATTTTAAAACTAAATCAAAAGTTCTACTACCTCCGTCCCAGAGTATTTGTCCACTTTCATTTTTACACACCATCCAATACACTTTTTTAATCCATTTTATCTTGTAATTTGTATATTAAAATTTTTTAGAAATTATATATTAATAATCTATATGTTAAGACAAATCAAACAAGATCACACATGACTATATTTAGGCTTACACATTGAGAGAATTTGATGAGTCAAAGTGCTTAGATGAACAGTTCCAAAAGTCAAAATTGGACGAATATAGCGGGACGGAGGGAGTATAAAATAAGAGGTGACATGAATATATTATTTTATCAAATAACTAATGAAAATAAAGAAAGTAGAAATTACCTTAAATAAGACTAAAACATAGAAAAAGTACCAAAATAAAACTTTCATGTTATTATTTCGGAGTTCGCACTCTAATAATGTGGCACTGTACACGTGCACGTTACTATACTTTTTGATAATGTAAATGTATTTTAACTTATATTATGGGAATAAAAACATAAAAATCATATTTTAATATATTTTTAATATTTTACTCATACTTTAATCTCTTATTCTAGAAAAAGAAAGTAATTAAGATTTGATTATATTGACACGGAAGATAGTGATACATCGAGTGGAAGGTAAAAGGGTAAAAGTGAAATAAGTTACGCAATTAGCCATTTTTGACGGAATCGAAGGTAAAAGTGCAATAAGTTACGCCATTACCCGGGGGATTTGATGGGGTAGAAATCGTCAGGGATGGACAAGATAAAAAGGCAAATGGCATTCCCAGTCCCCGCTATGCTAACGAGCGCCAATATCAGCTGAATAACTTTTTGCTCTGCACCGGCCCCCGGTGGAGATGGCTTCCGAAGGGGAAGAAGATTCCGACGCAGACGTTGGCTTCGAAGCCGACATGGAAGCCCTAAGAAGGGCCTGCCTATTGACCGGAACTAGCCCCTACCAAGCCGGAGGCGATTCCTCAGCCCGTCCCGCGGCGGCTGCCAGTGTCCCATCCTCCCCTGAATCCGATGAAGGAGAGGACGATATTGAGCTGGTTCGTGATTTACAGAGACGGTTTGCGCTTTCGGCGGAGGTTCAAGTGCCTCTGGATGTTGAAGCTTTATGCTCGGTTTTCCCCACTGAATCAGATGGTAGGGATGACTGTGAGGATGATCTGGAAGCGCTCCGTGCTATTCAGAGACGATTCGCCTCATATAATGACGGTAGGAGATTATGTTAATCCGTTCATCCCGTTAGGTTTCTCAGAATACACAAAAATCAAGAAATTTTCACAGCTCGTAATCTTAATCTCTTTTTATTTTGGAAAATAATTCGATATTTTACCAAAGTAGGACTAAAACATTGAAAATATATCAAAATGACTTCCATGTTTATATTCTCGAAATAGGACTTAAAATGCATTTACATTACCAAACATGGTCATGTACATTACCAAAACGTATAGTAATGTGAACATGTATAGTGTCAAATTACCACAATGCAAAGTCTTATTTCAAAAAAAAACATGAAAGTCCTTATTTCTATAATGTAATGCCATCTTGCGGGTATCTGCTTCCAAAAAGAATATGACTATCCTTTTGCCCTCTTTAATACAGATAATGCAAAAGAAGAATTGGATAAGAAGTTGCATAAGCCTGTGCAGGTTGGTGTTAATAATATAACCTCAGAAGAGGAAAGTTGCTATAATTTCATTCTAGAGAGAACTAATGCTGAGGAAGGGTTTCTCACTTCTGTAGATGGACATAACAGTGCATTTCAGATTTCAGAAGCTGGCAGTCATCTTGATGCTAGACTCCAGTCCTGTGAGTTGTCTGAGTGGAACAATAGTAGCACAGAAAATGAATCTTGCTTGTTATCCGGAAGCTCTAATTTCCCTCAATCAGCACAAGCTTTTGTGGATGCAATAAAGAAGAACCGGGCTTTCCAGAAAGTTATTCGAAACAAAATACTTCACATTGAAGCAAAGATTGAAGAGTTAAAGAAACTCAAGGGCGGGTTAAAATCTTCAGGGATTTTCAGGCTGCTTGCAGAAAGAGGACTGGTCATGCCTTGGCACAAAAAAAGGATGCACGGGTCCAGTTGATATCTCTATCAAGACAAAAGGTTAATTCAAAGGTCAGTTTGTTGTATCTAGTTATGTTATACCAACTAGGCAAATGGAGAGGGGGGTTTGACGGTGTTAGGGGGTTAGGAACCACTTTCGTGCCCAACGGAGCATTGTAGATACCCCATGTCATAATATGACATTGAATATCAATGTTAAAAGAATCAAGTGAGAATGATCCTTACCCCGAGAATGATCCTTACCGTGAGAATGGTGCCTTTTTTTGCCGCCACGATGCATTTTTACATTGTGGTAGTGCATTTTTGGCACCGGGAGTAAAGTTCAACTTATTTACCATAATGCCACCGCATTTTTTCAGATTTTTTCAGTTTTTTTTTTGAAATTTTCAAGCCCTTAGACCTTACATCTAATGCACGAGATGCATTCTTATTTATTTCATTAGACCGCATTCTCACTTGATCCAAAATACACACACACACACATCAATGAAGTGTTTTTGCATACACAAAAATGGGGATATGGTATTCCCTACTAATTTTTTTCGTTTTCTTTCAGTCAAAAGAGAGAAAGTGTTCTGCTTTGTATCATCCACCACCTGAGAATTCTGTAGTTACTAGTTACAGAGAAGCATTGTTGAAGTTTCCTGTATCTGTAAATCGAGAACGGTGGTCAAAAGAAGAAAGGGAGAATCTTTTGAAAGGCGTGAAACAACAATTCCAGGAAACTATGTTTCGTCGCTCAATTGATCTAAGAAGGTTTGATCTTCTAACAATTTAGGATAATTTAATAGAGAAATTTTTATATATATGTGATATGTAGACCTTAATAGCCAATGATTAAAATATGCTGCCTGTTGCTTGTGCATTTTAATTTCTGCTTTTAGCTTCAAGTATTGTTTCTTTGCTAGATTTATTTCATCTTTAACTTATTGTATCTTTTGAATTTCTTATGTTTTGTTTTTTGTTTGTTGAAAAACAATTAAACTCCTACGAGTTTGGCTGTATGTTATGGGATATAGAACTGATCTATTGCAGTATTTTGGTGGACATATTAACTTATTAAGTAGTGATCACATTTCAATTTGCCAATCAAATATGGAAGGATTCAATTTGCGTGTGTATATACTAGCAATTCTAGATGATTTAGAGAACATATGGGCATCATCATCAACAGACATAACTCTAGTCTATGGAGGGCTGGTTCCTAAATTCAAAGTAGTTAAATGATGTAGCAGATATTATATGACTATGTCGAATCTAATGTGATTTTTTCTGGTCTTGTTAGAAAAGATTATTTGATATATATATATATATATATATATATATATATATATATAGGTTCAAGTGAGAATTCGATCTTATGAAAGAAATAAGAATGAATCTGGTGCTTTAGATTGTGAGATCTAAGGGTCAGGATTGCATCAAAATTAGGTGCACCAAAATGATTTGAAAATGCATCATGTCGAAATGCACCAAAATCCTTTAAAAATGCACTATCTCAAAATCTGAGTGCAGGATGCAATCTGAGCCCCACAATGCATCAGATCCAAAGGCTAGATTTTATTCTTATTTCTTTCACCAAGGTGCATTCTCACCTGAACCGCCCCCCCCTATATATATATATTATTTAATTGTTGCTAATATATATATATATATATATATATATATATATATGACACGCTTTTCACTTCAATATTTCAACCAAAACCCCTTTATTTCATATGATCATGTCCTCATTTTTTGTTATTTGTGCAGTGACATGTATGAATCTTCTGGAGATTTGACTGATATTGACAACAATATTTCGTCCATAAAGGACCTCGATATTACCCCTGAAATGATGAGGTTGTTTTTACCCAAGGTCAATTGGGATCGTTTGGCTTCAATGTACATTCCCAAACGTACTGGTCTTGAATGTCAAACAAGGTACATAAATGTGTACATAAATAGAAATTGCACAGACATTTGTTTTTAAAGACAACACACACCTTTATATAAGATATAGGGTCCTGTTGAGCTAGCTATCTGGAATACATTTATCTGGAGTACTCTTTGGCTCTCTAAGATAGAACCTTCATTAGCTATCTAGAATATTCTCCTGGAATATTTGTTTATTAGACTCGTGTATGCCTACACACAGATGTATGTATGCATATATGTGCACATATGAGCAGCTTCTGTAATATAAAGTGAGGAATATGCTTTGTCTTTCACTATTCAAATTTCTTCATGGTATGAAAGCCACCTTCTCCAAATTGAGTGTTCGGGTATCTCCAAAAACTAACTTTTCCAAGTTGTCCTTAGACTGTGAAGCATGTGAGTTTGGTAAACACATCTGAACATTGTCGATGGCTGAATGGCTGAATTGGTGATTTGGGGGGTCACTGATTGAACCACATGCCGGTTGACCCATCACATATTTATAAAGCAACAATCTGCATAGTAAAATATCATAAATGGGGTGGGTGTAGAGACCTTACCCATACTTATAAAAAATAGAAGTTTCTAGAAGATCCCACAGCTCGAGCACGCAAAAAGGAAAAAAAAACACAAAAAACACACAAAAGAGTGCACAGAAGCACAAACTAACCATCACATATGAATACAATTGATATTTTCGAGCTTTGAGGGGCAACAAAGGAGTCCAGTTTCTTCAGAAGATTTTTTGTCCAATTGGCCACTCAAGAAAACCAGAAGCACATTCCACTCAAGATCCCCCCCCCCCCTATGAGGATGCCTTGACTCACTTTGAAACTTAAGCCTCGTGAAGCTAAGTCATGCTGATTATAGCTTTTTTAAAACCATAAGTTCAAAAGAATATGACAGATAAATAGGAAAAAATGTTAGAAAAACAATTAAAAACAGAAAATGAGTAGTAAAAGGTTCCCGCAGGAGTTTTTCTCAGGGTGGTCACTAGAGGATGGTTGTCATTGTGACATTTTTGTTGGGGGGAATGGTGTACGGAGCAGCACTACTGAATTTCAAACAAAAACGTAAAACAACTGCAATTTGCATTTAGTTTGAGCCTGTTAAGGATCAACCTTTTCGGTTCTGTCCTGGGTTGCAACTTGCATGACCTTTGTTCTCCCACCGCACAGTCATGACTATCATGCGTTTCATACATGTGGTTGATTCCATAGCCTTCCACGTATGTGTCTTGATGCTATAAGCATGAAATGATAGCCTGCTTATTTTCTCCCACTGCTTTTTGCTGTAGCTCCATCATGACTGCTACTTGACAACACCATCATAATTTCTTTAAACAGTTCAAGCAATAGAAAATGATGATGATGTTGTTGTAATAGAAATTGATGAATCATTTTCTGACATTTTGCAGATGGTTAAACTGGGAAGACCCCTTAATCAATCATGAACCTTGGTCGGATAATAATGTGGAGGATAAGAACCTTTTGAATATTGTTCATCAAAAGGGGCTCAGTAACTGGATTGATATTGCAATATCCTTGGGAAGTAACAGGACTCCATTTCAGTGCTTAACACGCTATCAAAGGAGTTTAAATGCTACAATTATTAAAAGTGAGTGGACTGAGGAGGAAGATGATAAACTGAGAGCGGCTGTGGAAGCTTTTGGTGATAGTAATTGGCAGGCTGTTGCTGCTACCCTCGTAGAGCGGACAGGTACCCAGTGCTCCAATAGGTAAGTTAGCTTTTGTGATTGTTTAATGTTGTTAAGGCGTCGCCTAGGCGTTGACTAGTCGTGGACTACTCATCCAGGCAGTTTGGGGAAGGGGAAAAGCTGGGCGCCTAGGACTGGGTGGCCTAATCGTCCAGCCGAGAAAGGCGAGGCCTAGTCGTCGTTTAGTAGTGACTAGTCGGAGAAGAAGAGCCCAACCCGACCCATGACTTATCCGAATTTCATTAAATAAGCTGTATTAAATATTACCGGATAAATTCCGTAATCCAATAACGATTATCTCGCACGGACGACGTCTATCCCTCCTCATCGATTGAAGATTTGAAGCAGATCTGGATTCAATTGTTTTATCTTCCTCTTCATCGCATCTTGATCCGACGGAGAAGAAAGACCAACCCGGTATTCCTCTTCATCGCACGATTCAGGTCAGCCGAGTAGCGTCTCTCCCTAGGTAAATTTTATATTTATAATTTGTTATCACTTAATCTTCAAATTTAGGTTAATTTTCTTTAATTTGGTTCATTAAACTATTAAACAAGTATATTATATTCTTTATTTTTTAAATGTATTCAGTTCTGTTTTTTTCTGATTTCAATTAACATTTTTTTTGTTAATTTTATTCAGTTTTTTAATTTTTTATTTTTTTATGATTTCAATCAACAATTGTGTGTTGTTATTTTAGTATTTTGACTTAAGAAGTTAATTTAATATGTATTATCTCTTATATAAAAAATTATACTTATTTCAGAACAAATGGGAGATAATAACGTTCGTGATTATGAGGATCCATCGAAGGACCCCAAACGAAAAACCGGCTCTAATGATGCCATATGGAAGGAAATATGGGTTTTGGCCAAATATGAACAACAAAATCTCGTAGAATGCACATTATGCCACAAACAAATCAATTGTGACATAAGTTGGTTGATGATATTTGATAACTCAAAACGAGAAGTTAGATAATAGTATGTTCTTTGACTACTTTTTGTGCTTATTATCCTTGTTGGATATTTGTTTCTAAAGTACTCTTTGGTATGTGACTTTATGTGCTATTTTTAAACATAATTTTGCTTTGGTAATGATATTTTGTCATATAAATATATATAGTTATTTGTAGTAAATGAAGATATATATATATATATATTGTTAAAAGTTTCAATACTAATTGTGATTTTTTGACTAGTCTACGACCAGTAGGCCGACTCCTGACCGACTCGACTCGACTTGTTGACTTAACAACCATGGATTGTTATATCTCATGCCTTCTTGTGGAGGTTGAGATTATCAAACTATCCTATAAGATGATGTCATTAAGCCATCCCAATTTGGCTGGATCAATACTCATTAGTTTAATCCTAGAATTATGCCCCATGAAGGTTACAGTTGAAAGGACCTTCATGAAATCTAAAGTTTTCTTGTTTATTTTGCCTAATGTATGTTGAAGGTAGTCACATGTCACTTAAAATATATTTGAGGCATGAGTCATATTGGCACAAGTAACTGACTAAATGATGCAGTTGCAGGACTCTTGTATGGTGATATTTTATATATTTACAGTTGGCAACATCAGACATGTGGAATGAAATGTAAAACAGAAGCTTTGAAGAACTCTCTCTCTCTCTCTCCCCTTTTTTATTTTTAATTTTACAAAAATACTATGTATGTTGCTAACTTCATATCCAACACTACAAGAGAAAGAAGTCATACAAAATAAAGCGGGTAAAGAAGCTGTTAAGTAGTTGCAGCAAATAGCAACGCTTTTGAGTTCAAACTCTACTTTATTTGCTATCAGTGTCTTCAGCAATATACTCGAGGGAATTGATTCATCAAATCATGCAGATGGATTAAAACCCTTAACCCTGCTCGGGAGAGGGCTGGGAAATGGACTGCTGATGAAGATAAACGCTTGAAAGTTGCTGTAATGCTTTTTGGGCAAAAATCTTGGAAGAAGCTAGCTGAGTATGTACCTGGGCGTACTCATGTGCAGTGTAGGGAAAGGTAATTTCTATGCATCTCAGCTTTTCTATTAATTATGTGAATGGACTGAAGAATAGGATTTAAATTTCTCCTTTTTGCAGATGGGTCAACTGCTTAGATCCTGCATTGAATTTAAATAAATGGACTGAAGAAGAGGATTTGAAGCTGGCAGCTGCAATTGAGGAACATGGATATTCATGGTCGAAGGTTGCTACCTGTGTTGCCCCACGCACTGATAGTCAGTGTAGGAGGTATGCGTCATGATTCATAACTGAGAAAACGCTATATAAAAGAACACCTAGTGGGGCCAATTTGCTCATCGAGGGCTTTGGTAATTTACCCAATTTTCAGTTTTACTAGTAAAATGTATACTAGTAAAGTTCATTTTAGTGGTAAAATGTTTACCACCCTTAGAGATATCTGTGTTTTTGCTATCAATAATACTTTACCAAATCAAAATTGCAACAAAGTGTGGTAACCATTTTACAACTTGAATTTAATGGTAAAATGCCACTTTACCCTGCTTTCATATGAGCGCTTAAGCTGTTACTTAATCAATTATGCTTCTCAGTCCCTTTATATAAATGTTTTATATTGTAGGCGATGGAAGGTGCTATATCCACATCAAGTTCCTTTGCTGCAAGAAGCTAGAAATATACAAAAGGCTGCATTCATATCCAACTTTGTCGAAAGGGAGACTGAACGACCTTCCCTTACACCAATTGACTTTGCTCAAGTACCATTACTCCTAAATGTATCTCGGTCTGAAAATTTCGGGAAATGGAAAATAGGACCAAAGTGTGACATAGCACCAAGGTATGCTACTACTGCCCTCTTAAGCTGAATTTCCACAAGTATATCAACTACTCACTGTCTTAACTCAGTAATGTTTATCTTTATTGGCTGGATTGCATATTGCACAACAAGCTTATCAGGTCAACAATTCGAGTTGAGTCGCAAGAGAAGCGACTGGTGGACTAGTCGACCAACTAATCCACAACTAGTTGATATAAAATACTCCCTCTATCCCAATGTGTTTGTCCACTTTCTTTTTGGTACACGGACCTGTGAAATGAAAATAAAGGTCAAATTTCAGAAAAATGTCCTTACTCTATGGGTAGTGGGTAGTGTCAATTAAATAATTGATCTTGATATGAGGCCAAATAGGTCATTATAACATTTATTATTTTACCATGAATGAAAAATTGGACAAATACATTAGGATGACCCTAAAAAGAAAACAAAACAAAGACAATGGGACAGAGGGAGTATGAATTTATGAATAATATTAATTATCATATCCATCCATTCTAAAAACTCAAATGCACTAATAAGAGGTGCTTGGTTCATATCAATCTGCTTTATTAGTTTTAATTTTGCAGGAAAACGTCTTCACATTCTCCAAGAACAGTTAATGTCATGGATGTTGCGAATCGCGGAGATGGTATCACTATAAATACAAGTAAAAGGAGCAAGCGGAAGCTAAAAAGAAAAATGTGCACTGACCATGAATCAGAGGGACCACCAGCGGTGGGTGTTGCTAGGAGGAAAAGGAAGACTTCCAAATTGCCTCCCAGAAAGAAAGGAAAGCACGGACATTATGAAGATGTTCCAGAGCTTTCTGCTAGGAATGAAGCAAACCAAAACTCTTCACCTTGTTCACGTGGCCGGAAAACTATCAAGTCTTCTTCAAAGAAAGGTAGAATACGTTGTTCTAGAAAAAAATGTAATGATCCATCTCTTGGCCAAGGTCATCATCCCTTACCTACTTCATCATCATATATTAGCAAAGGCAAATACACTGTTGATGAAGGGGGTGGAAAAGATTGGGAAAATGCTTGCCCGCATAATGGGCAACATGCTTTACAAGAATTATCTGGAAGCAACCTTGAAAATGGATTACCTGGGGAGCAATATAATTATTCTTCACTGTCCTGTGAATCTAATACTTGCATGAAGTCTTGTGATAGATTGGAAGATGAAATGCCTCTGGCTCACTTTATCAATAAAGTGAAGAGAAGAAGGCTCGATCCTGCTGCCATCATCAGGGGATGAACTTTCATTTCGTTCAACTTTTCAACATAATGAAAGCAAGGGATCGAGGCTCGAGCCTAATAAATGGTAACTACTGCAAAACCCGCACTAGATATTGTTGAGTATACGTTATTTTTTGTTTGCCGTCTTTTGTAAGGCTGGCAGGCCTGATGTTACACTCATGAGTTTCAGTTCTCAATCAGTTGTATAGGGATACATTTTTGACACACATCTTTTGGTTGGCAAGTGTGTGCAGTGGGGGTGTTAATGTCTATGTTTGTGCCATGCTGTTTTTGGTTATATATTTAGTTTAGGCACTGTCATTTTTTTTAAATAGATGTTTTGGGTTGTAAGAGTAGAAGTGCATTTTCGATGCATTTTTTTCTATGTAATTATTTACAATCGTTCTTCTACCTATTATATGCTCCCTCAGTCCATAAAAACACTTCATAGTTTGACCGGGCATGCATATTTAGGAGATGAAAATAACATTGACTTTACTAAAATGCCCCTTTCATCCGTTTACCATCACCACAGAGCCACAATTTGTTTCCTTCCATCTTCTTCCGTCAAGAACACAGGTCTTAGATGTATTCCAAATCAAACATTCAACAAACACCAAGATCTCAAATGTCAATATGGACACCAGTTTAAAAAATCCTCAAAGGAAAAATCCAAGATCCAAAACCTATCCACTGTAGAGAAGCTCTCGAAATCTAAAATCTAAAATTGAACATCTCAAAATCTAAAACCCAAGATCCCAAAATTAAAAATCTAAAATTGAAGATCTAAAACCTTGTCGATAACCCCAAGCGACTACAATAGCAGTGGTGGTGAAATCCGTCCCGTCTATAATGTTGACTTTGTTCAGATCTGGCGAAGCGAGGCACAATCCTTCCGATATGATGAAGATGGGGCCGTTTTTTCAGATTCGGTGAAGATAGTGCTGCTCCAAAGCTCCCAATCTGTGTCTGTAGGGTGGCATCGAAAATCGCATGCGGTGCGGAAAAGAGAATGACGCCGGTGGAGGAAAGAAGAAAATTAATTGGAATAAGAAAATGAAAGAGAAACTACAATGGAGGAAAGAGATATGGTGGGGCACAATTGCACCCCTGGGTGAATAAGATGGTGAGGATGAAAAAAAAAAGAAAGAGAACGAAGAAGATGGCCACAGTTTGAAGATGTGGATGATAGAAGAGAAAAAGAGAGGGGTAACATTGACCTTCCAATGAAATTTTTTTAGTCAAAAAAGAAATGGAAAGTTTATTTATGGACATCTCAAAGAGGACAGTGAGAAACTTTTTTATGGACGGAGGGAGTACTTCGTTGATAGTACTCCCTTCGTCTTAGAAAACTTTTTATTTTAACTTTTTTAGTCAAATAGTGATAATTTGAGAGTCTGTGACCGTAAATTCTGATATATATATACTAGCATTCTAACCCGTGCGATGCACGGGGTCGACAAAATTTTGTCGATTCTGAATTTTTTTAATGCAATATATTTTCTGGATCAAGTAAATATATTTCTAACACGATTTTTTATCATTGGACAAAAACACATAGGTAGAATAAATAATATTTGAGGAATTGAAAATGTACTCAAAAATGTTTTTTTTAATTTCAAACTTGTTGGCATGAAGAAAAAAAAATTAAGTACTACTTTTCAGCTCTATGAAATAAAGGATAAGATAAATTCATTTACCATTCAACTACCTCGAGCACGGGTGCCAATAGTGCACTATCTTCAACAAAAAGAATACTCCGTATAATAGTTTTTTATGTTCTCCAATAGGTTCAGATAAGTGAAGTTCACTATATTCTTGAGGATTAACTTGTGTTAAAAATCAAGATCTTTAACTATTAGAGCACCAACTTCATGTATTGTGGAGATATTATAATTTCTTGAATCTCTAGTTTTAATAGATATGAAGTCTTACTTCTCAACAGCCTCAATGATCCATTAGAAATAGACTCATTATCCATGAAGTCTTTAGTTTTTCTAAATATCTATGTTAAAACATTATGCTCATCTACCATATTTTTTCAAATCTTTGACCAAACTTTTATCAGTAGTCAAAGAATTATTTTTCCTGCTGTGTGAAACAAATAGAACAATTTGTTTTTATTAGCATGTTAATAATGTTCCATGTGTATTATATTGTCAAACATATGTAAATAATACTTTTATTAAAAGGGTGTACTCAATAAAATATTCGAGATACCTAAAATGAGTTATTTGTTTTCATATCTCGTTTTGTATACCATAAATATACAATCGTGTAAATTTTGGTCCTTCACCATATTGTGACATTAAACATGGTATGTGATGATGAATGTGTCCGCTGAGGGTACATTATTGCTCAACCATTATTGTGAGATGTATCAATATTTCCATTTATAAATGTTAATGAAAACATACAGTTGTATTTATTTAAATTTTTCATGGTAATGAGAACTCTTCACACCAAGACCATAAAATAAATTATAGAGCAAATTAGATGGTTTTCCTTAGAAGAGACAATTAAACTTTTTCTTATATGTAATAAATTGAAAACTTTAGATGTTTTGAATCTTTATTCAATTCATTTGATTCTTTCTTCATAGTTCATGTCATAACAAAGTTTCCTGAAATTCACACAAATGCAAGATTCCCAAAATAGATTGTCTCTGAAGGAAAAATAAAATATGATGTAGGCAGTCTTATATATATATATAGCATTTTACACAACTTACATGTTGCATATATAATCTAAACATATTTTTAATTTTTATTTATCTAAATGCAGGATCATCTAAAATTGATTCCACTAATGTATCTTAAGCATATGAACCTTCTACCTCGATATTTAAATTTAAAATATATCGAGTGTGTCCACCATATCTATTTTCTTACATTGTTTATAATATTTTATACAAAAAGACAATAGTTGTATTATCAAATTCAAAGAAATTAGTAGAATGGGTTGTAAACACAGATCAATTCTCTTCTGTTTCTTATGCACTTAAAAGCGCGATGAAGCGTGTGTATAATTGTTTCGTGGTTGGAAAATTATAGATGATATTTTGGGAAATATGTACTGGAACGTGTTAGCAGAGTATATTCTTTCTCGAACGTGTTCGATGATGCGAGTTTATAGCCGATGATTATTTCCCTCCTTCTGTATTTGTAATAAGCATCATAAAATAAATATTATAATTTTTTATCTAAAAACTTTAAATATTTTTTTTATTATCCACTAATATTTGTTACATTGATGTCGATGGTTCAATGAATAAATAAGAAAGAATATAACTTGCTTATATTATTTTTACATAGATGTCAAAATAATTAGCACATTTTATATTTTTTAAGAATTAAATATAAAAGTAATTACATTTATAACAATTAATAATATACCATAAATATTTCGATTAGGAACACCAATTAATATCTAATTTTTTACACATAAATACTCACTTACCAAGTCTTGATCATTTTACAAAGTTATAAATGGAAAATTATAATTTTTGTTACATGTAAATTTTTACAAAGCTATACATGAAAAACAATAACTTTAAAATGGAAAATACTAATTTTAAAATGGAACATACTTTTTATTTGATTTAGAATTATTTATATATACGGAATAAAATTAATTCTCTATTAAATAAGCATGTCCGTAAAAATCCATTTCATTTTGTATATTTGTTTCTTTTTTTTAAATAATTAGAAAATCTCTCCAATTAGAATTAATTCAAAGCAAAAAATAAAATGTAATTTCATTTAGTCCTACCAATATATCCGTTCTTAAAGTAAATTTATTTGTTTTGATTACAGTTTTTGAATAGGTGTTTTTTTTAAATTTCAAAATATACTATTTAATTTAAATATTTTCCAATAATGAATGAAAATATAAAAGTTTTTAAACGCGATTATACGGAGAAATTTGTGTATAACAAATATGAAATTTAATTTCCGCATAATAAGTTTTTTTGTTAACTTTTTTTTAAAACATTACTTGCTAACATGACATGCTGATATGTCAAAAAAGTTGTCTAATAAGCACGCCACATGTCACAATTCTAGAAGCCCAACCCGTTTGAAATATTGAGGAAGTTGATTTTGATGACGTGGCTAATGAAGTGTCAAAAAAAGTTCCAGTCAGCACGCCAAATGTCGCAATTCTGAGAGTTCAACTCTCAAATATATATATATATATATATATATATATATATATATATATATATATATATATATATATATATATATATAGTAAATTCAATATTATTAGGTTCATCTTCAGATATAATTTTGATATATCAAATTTTTCTAACATTTATTTATTCAAGTTATATTTAATTTATAGTTAAAGATTGTCGTTGTTTGACCAAAAAAGTCAAAACATAAAAGATTTCTTAGAACAGGAAATAGTTATTATCAAGATTGATATTGGTCTACTCGGCTAGTCGGCTCGGCTTTGCAGGCATATATTATCACAAACTTCATTCATGTTTATTTTGGGCTCTTAAAATTGTAGGAGCAACCTCTCAAAATGAGGGGACTTGTGCGGAGCAAGTAATGGTACTTGAGCCATCATTATTTCTCTCGGCAATCTTGTTGGATCGGGGCATGGAGCACTTGAAATAGGTGATTTCACCTCTTGCTTTAAGTTACTCCGTTCAATTTTCTAGAGTAACTTTTTAACTTGAAGCCAATGATGGTTTTCTTTAGGGCAAATACTTTGTTAGACTTTAGGTTTATCTTAATTTTGTGGAACTTCTTTCAAATGTTTGACATTTTGTCATGTTGATGAGTTTTTTCAAGATTTTGAATCCATCAAATTAAATTTATGTGAGTATGTTTAGATGTGGAACTAAGGACCATCAAAACACTACTCTCTCTTTAGAGGCTAGTTCTTTTCCGTTCTTGTGTTCAAAACTAGGATGGACATAGTTTTGAGTATGCCTTTCCATGAGAAGGGTTTGAGCCGGAATACGGTAATCCATACCCATTAACTATTATGTGTTCCCACCTCGTACTTGTTTAACCAATGACTTGATCTTATAACTTAAATTTATACTCATTAAGTCTCGATACGGGATCGAGTATATCCGTGATAGAACTTGATGAGATAATACTCACTTCGGTCCCTATGAGTGAACTCACAAGTCAATTTGGTCCTTATAAGTTTGGTTAAGTCGAGTTAGTCTCTTTAACTAGAAAATTTGAATCAAATTAGTCTTTCAGATGAAATTTATCAGTTAAAATTATGAGATGTCACACTAATTGATGCAAGAACAATGACCCAATGTATTAGTTTTTGTGCAAATTAACGTGCTAATTTAGAATTTTAGTAGATATACTAATTTGATTCACATTTTTAGTTACATGGACTAATTTGACTCAACCAAATTTACAGGGCCCAAATTAACTTGTGGGTGAACTTACAAGGACAAAATTGACTCGTGATTTTTTTTAAATTTTTTGCCTTACTTTGACTAACTATATATACAAAAATATACAATGACTTGAAATATAAAAATTACCATATCATAATGTTTGTATTAGAAAATACTTACTCTCTCTACCCCGGAGTGTTAGTCCTGTTTTGACTTCTTACAGTTAATCATAACCAACATTTAACCTATAGTTAAATACAAATTATATGATATAATTAGATAAAATAGTATGTTGAAAATATTTTACATGATAAATCTAATAAAAGTAATTTTGTATCAATATCTAATATCAATATCATTTAATTATATTCAAAGTTTGTCAACTTTGATTACAAAAAATCAATACCGGACAATCACATGGGGACATAGGTAGTACAATATACTCCTCCTGCCCGAAATAAAATTACTACTTCCGTTTGAGAGTATTTTTTTAGTTTTGATACAAACAAAATAGACAAATTTTAATCATAAATTAAATAAAATTGATATTAATTATTCATAAAAAAAATAATCTTATTAGATTCATCTTGTGAATTATTTTCAAAATACAGAGGATTATTTTTTAAATTAATTTACCATTTAATTTTTTATTTACATATAGGTCAATGGTTATTTCTAGTTGACTCCAAAAAGTCCAAATTGGACAATACTTTAGGACAGAGGGAATATATATTAAAAAAATTTATAAAACAAGAAGTGACTTTACTATTTTATTTTAACAAATGATTAACAAAAATAAGTACAAAAAGAAGAAAAAATTTAACCGGTGAGTAATGGAGTATGCCAATTAATTCAAGACTAGGGGAGTATCATTTTAAATTATTTTTTGCTAATACGGTATATTTTAAGAGATATTGCGGGTCAAATGTTCGACACGGAAAACGAACCCCCGAAAATTAAAAATGTATGGAGGGAGTACCCATTATGAAGTTAGAGCTAATGAAGTTATCTCAAAACCAATTCTCATCTTTTCTTTTTGAACAATGCTAGGTTCACAAACAGGATGTTCACAAACTTCACAAATTTACTATTTATGGTTTAAATTTTCATTTTAAAATTATTTTAGACTATTTAATTTTTTTATTGAAGTTCACAAATAGTAAATTTGTGAAGTTTGTGACCCTTGTGTTTGTGAACTAAGTATTTCCCTTTCTTTTTTGTTTGTCCCAAAATAAAGTTTTCAATTCTTTTGAGGTAATCAATGAATGATTCAGATTACTTTATTTCTTTTCTACATAAATCTCAACTACACAATTTATTTTTACTTAACATCATGAAAAAAATACTTTAAACCGCAGAAAATAATTTTTAGTTTAATTCAAAAAACATTAGTCTAAACAAGAAAATCTCATTAGATGAGTAAAAAGACTAGATAAATTGGTCCATTGAAAAGACCAATACTATTTAAGACCAGATCGGTTCAATCTTTTTTCATAAACATTAAAAACTAATCCTGTCTTCATAAAAAATAGAGATTTCAGGATAAGGATCCGGTTAGGACTGGTCCAAGTCTGGCATGGTCTTTATATTTCAAAGGTATTGCAACTCTATCTAGTCTCAATATGGTATCTGTTCCGTCTTTAAAAAAACACTTGGTCCGAGACTAGTAGTGTATTTTACCAAAATTCAAAGATCAAATGAGACTACCAATACAAGACCGGGCAGGTCTCAAGGACCACCACTTTGGTCTAATATTTCCTAAACCAAATTCTAATATATCCCCATCTTTTTTTTTTGTTTAAGTCCTAATCATGTTGCTCATGTGTACATCATTTATATTACTCCGTATATTGGTGGACTAAAGTTAATGCTTTGGCATGAATTTTTCTTAAGAAAAAAAAAACAAATTATTGGGTAGAACCTTGTGGGGAGTGGTGGGGCTGAATTTATGGTTTTGGTAGTTTTTTTCTCTCCGAAACTTTGGATCTTTGAATGTTTCACCAGTACAACAACTACCTAAAGAATGAAATGGTCACATGAAACCAAGGGGATAAACTAATGTTTTTTTAATAGCCAGCCTTCTAACGCCAAGAAGTGAAAATTAAAAAGAAAGCCACTTATTTACTTTCCATTGAAAGCATAGCATATTAGTGTTCTTTGTTTGGTTTTGTTGTTTCTTGGTTGTGGTGTGTGATTTTCAGGGAATTAAAATGTCAGATAGAGAGGACGACGTGAGTTCTGAAGTTTCATCGGTGGGCGATGTTCACGACGGTCATCTTCGGATGCGCGCCGCTTCGCCGGAGAGCGATTCTCGTGGGACCAAACGCACTCCGGGTTCGCCGGAAAAGGGTCGCCTTTTCAGCCGCCAAAAGCCCGTCCATGCCGCTCTCGGCGGAGGAAAATGTATGTACCCACCCTTTCCCTTCTTACCTTAATACTCCCTCTAAAAGAACTTTTTTCTTTCTTTTCTGCATAAATTTCTGTATTTTTTTCTTAAATGCCGTGAAAGAATAAGATATAATTTCTTCCGGGAACAGAGGGAAGAAATTCGTGTGATGTCATCATCACCATCAACGTTACTCTATAAATACATCAAACGTTCAACTGCTAGAAAGTTTAACCCGGGCTTAACTTTTTTTAACCAGCCCGGGCATAACTTAGTTGGTTGAAAGGGTCAAAAGGTGTAATGACAGTTTGACTCCTGAGAATGATGAAAAATGATCATGCATAGTATGAAATCATTTTTGCACGTACCAAAAACAAATCTCATTCTCTATTTATCAGTGGATTAAAGTTCAATTTACCTCCTCCAAGCTATTGTCGAGCCCAATGGGGTTTATTCTTTTCTCTTTCTTTTGGGTCAAACATATAGCTGCTGATATTATATTGTGGAGGAACAAGAGGATATCAGGAGGGGGCCTAGCTGGAGCAACAGTCATATGGCTTCTGTTTGAGTGGATAGGCTACCATGTTCTTACTTTTCTTTGCCACTCTCTTATACTTACATTGGCAATCATGTTTCTTTGGTCCAACCTCTCATCCTTTGTCAACAAGTAAGCCATTCTAACATCCTAGCTCATTGAAAACAACACAAAACTATCACCATTGTGATTTATTTGCAATCTTGGTTTTCTACTTCTCTTTGAATACATAAAGAACTTTGCAAAACCGTACCGTATTTGTTTGTTGGCAAGGACCCCACCGGAGTATCCTGAGCTGGTGTTGCCGGAGGATATGTGCAGGCGAGCAGCACTCTACGTGAGAGATCAGTGCCATTGGGCAATTGGTCTTTTCCGGGAAGTGGCTTCAGGGAAGGACTTGAAGAAATTCCTTTACGTATGGAACTTCTTCTTTTTCACCCTTTGTATCGTCTTGTTTATATGCACACAGCTGACAATTGTAGAAAACTTTTGTATGTGTTTAAACTATAGGCAATTATCGGCTTGTGGGTTGTTTCTGCCATTGGCAGCTGGTTCGACTTTCTCACCCTAGTATACATCGGTGAGTTTCTCTTCTTTTTCTTCTTATATTATCGTATGGTAATAAAAGTACCGCTACGATGACATCACCCATGGGGCACCACTAGTCTGTCATAGACACACACGGACAGTAATTGACTGATTGTATCTATGTACTCTACTTTCGTATCAGAAACCAAAAGAAATGTGGATTATTTTTTTGGGTGAGATAAATAACTAATGAAGTAATGAACTACCTTATAATAAAAAGAAAGGAGGGCTAAAATCCATACATAGTGGAAGAAACTAGGGCTTTTTTGGGAAGGAAAAAAGCATTTCTTTTTCCATTTTGGTGATATGGCTGAGTGGTAAGGCGTCATAACTAGGCAACTGATATCTTTGTCTGTGTTAACTGGGCAGTATTTGTTATGCTGTTGACTGTGCCTATATTCTATGAAAAGCATGAAGATCAAGTTGACGCTTATGCAGACAAAGCGAAGAAAGAATTAAAGAGACAGTACAGCCAATTGGATGAAAAGGTTCTTCAGAAACTACCCAAGGTTCATTTTGGTAAAGACACCAAGGAGCACTGATCCAACTTGTCTTCAATATAATTCATTTCTCATGCCAGTATAATCCTCTATTTCTTTTCTTTAAAGTGTCGTTAATTTGCCATTCTCACATTCTCTTTACACTTGAGTTACTTTAGTTACTTTGATTGTAAGGAGTTACCCATTCGACCGTTAGAAACTAGCAATGTTAGTAGAGAAATAACAAAGTCGACCTAATCATTTTAACTCATTCAAAAAGATGATTTAATGGAAGTTTAAAAAGCTTGCAGAAATATGACTACAACTACACCAAAGTCGAAACAGATTCCAATTCATTAATACAAAGCTAGATACACATTTTACCTCTTCAGATATACTAGAGGTTGGGCTTCTGAAATTTTGTCAACTCCCAAAACTAACAATTGTTCACCAGCTTTGCCAACATAAAAAATTTTGGAAGAAGTGATTCATACCTTCTGCGTATGAGATCCTGGCAGCAAGAATGGCTCCCACCATCCAAACTTATACTTGGGGTATGGTGCGGTCCAAATCTCCGGTTTCTCAAACTCAAGTTTAGTAGGCGTAGAAGCCAAGGCTTCTTCTACACTATCAGCCTCAAAACAATCTTGTAAAACTCTGTCTAATCTTAGTTTCATGAACCTGCAAATACAGTCAAAACAGTGTATGAGATAAATTACATTTCACTGCATCTAAGGGTATGCTTGGATCTCGGAAAATGCTGCAGTGAGGAACATAAATGTTATACAATTACTTTGTTTATGCCTAATTTCATTTTCATTTGCTCCAACATTATCTTTCTTTCTATCATCCCCAGTGTTCTACTTCCTATTTTTTCCATAGTACTTAAAAAGATCCAAACTGAGCCAAAAAGTAGGGCAGATCCCAATAAATATCAAAAGGTGTTCTTCCATTCGAACTTGTTTTAATGAAATTTGGAAAGATGATTGTTACTTGATCCAAGAGCCATTGGTAGAAACTAGAGCCACCGCAGGTCTCTTTAGTCTCTTAGTAATGTCGGGGAATTTGTCCAAGAACTTGGGCTCAATCACAAGCCAGAAATCTTGTTCCTTTTGACGCTCTCCATAATGCCTCATACGCTCCGATAATTGCTCCTGAAAATGCTCCTCCTCATCCAGCATGAATTTTGCATTTGCAACCAGATAATAATACTTTTTCCTTTCTGTTCCTTGCTGTCAATAAAAAATCCACAATCCGGTTTTCAGTCAATAAATAAATATATAAAAATGAACAAGTAGTTATATTACACATCCAACAAATGAGCATTTCAGAACTGAATATGAGCTTTGTTAGCCGCTAGGGTTGGTACATTGAACGTCGGAAAATGAGCATTTTAAAGGCAAAATGAGCCTTCCCAACAACCAAATGAGCTTTTTTTACAAGAGAAATGAGCACAATAATACAAACACAACAAAATGTCTAAGAGACTAAAAAGACCAGCCGTGGACTCATTTGGAACCATAATGCTCATGTTGTCCAAAAAAACTACAAAAATATCACAGGTTGTTCATATTTCCATTCTGTTTCCAAGATTGATTCCTATAAGAATTTCAAATCATACAAAAAGGAAAACCCTAACTTGATTCAAACCCTAGCAAAAAAAATCTAACAGAGATTTCATTTTATCAAAATAAAGAAGAAACCCAGCTATCTTGTAAATAAAAGGGGCGAACCTTTTCTACAGTAGGGGAGGATTCGACAGCGGCTACAGCGGTTTTCACATAATTTCTTGAGTGCTTTAGCAAAACGCGCTGCAGAGCAGACGATGGAATGGACCGAAGCCCATAGAGCGAAGAAGAGAGCTTGCCAGATTTGTGTGCCGGAAATTCCTTGACGGGACCGGCGGAGAAAGAGCCTAGGTTCAGAGCCGTTGAAGCTAGCATTGCTGCGAAGTTTCAGTGTGAAAGGAGATTCGCTATGGCGTTTGGTGTTGTTTTAAGCCTGTAGAGTAAAAGGCTAATGAAAAGGTGATAGATGGCGATGGCGCAAGGAAACTGTGGGCGAAAGAGCCAACCGTATCTCCTTCCTTCTCCTTATCCGGTCACCCTTTGAAAAACAAAAAGAAATGTTCTAAATGATTAAAAAATAAAAACTTCTACAAATAAATAGTAAGATTATGAAATTTGTAAGTATTTTGTGTTAGCATACTTTTTTGCAAAATGGAAAAAGTTTGAGAGTGTTATGTAAGCATCATATTGTATTGACTACGTGCGCCTCTCTTCGCATAAAAAAGCCGATCAACTCCCTCCTCTGGAATACTCTTCTGACTCCTCAGTCACCCCGCCCTACAAGTGTTTCTCTTTACTTTTGTACTAGTACATATTTCCTCTCATGGATGCATTAAATTTGTTTTATTTTCTCTCATCTCACATACAGTTTAACCAGCTACAATCTCAAACCTTTTAAAACTTGAATTTTTCGAACTTGATATCTTGAAAAAATGCTTCCTCACGTGGACTTTAATTTAGATGCCAAAATTCACCGTACGACAAAGAATTTGAGAGATACAATTTGAGAAAGATATGATGCTTCCGTTCAAGATAGGAAAAAGGTCATGATATCTCTCTGTCATCACCTCCATGAGGATATGAAGAGGGAATACCTCACTGTTGATAATCGTTATGAATCATAGAATAACATTCAAGAGCGCTTTGACTACCAGAAATTGGTCTAACTACCAAAAACTCGATATGAGTGGCTCCACCTAAGACTACAAGTATACAAGATTATATATACATATGTCCCTGATTACTATTCTACACTATTTAGCGTCACCTCTATTATGAAGTTATATATGCAGGGAGCCAGTGACATGTAAAAATTTGCTTGAAAAGACTCTTTCCAGTTTCATACATTTAACATGCTTTTGTCGAGCAATACAGAGAATGTGTAGTGGGCTCGTCAAGTACTCTAATTTAATAGCATGCATGTTATTTGGAAAACAAAATAAAGATCTCTTAGTGCAAAATCATGAAACACGACCAACTCGTACAGGCCCGTTTCCTGAAGTGAATATGGCAACTACTCAGAGTGTTAAAGAGAGACAAAGGTCGTGGTCTTAGTAGAGGTCGTGGTCGTGGATGGAACAACACATGGCAACAAGATTTTTTTAATCCTAAGAATTCTAAGGGGTAAAGTGAATGACGACACCGAAGCGATAGACCTAAGGAAGACCAGAATGTCTTATGCTATAAGTGTGGCATGACCAACCACTAGCCCTGCACATGGCGCACTCCTAAGAATTTTGATGAATCCATATGGGTGGAAATTATTATGAATCCATGCTTAAAATTTGTTTGAATTCATGAAGAATTTAGAAATTCACAAGCTGCTTATCACTAAGGCAAATAAAATAGGCTATCGCCCATATAACAAAAAATTGATACTGGGTACCCCTAGTTTTGTGATAAGAACTCGCAGGTCCCATTATTTTTCAAAATATACTTCGAGGTACCTTAAAATATTAGAAAAATGACTTCGGGGTGACAATCCGTCTCTTTCCCCGTTAATACCCTTCTCCGTTATCTTTCTTCTTATCTATCTTCTTCTTCTTCTTTTTCTTCTTCTTCTTCTTCTTCTTCTTCTTCTTCTTCTTCTTCTTCTTCTTCTTCTTCTTCTTCTTCTTCTTCTTCTCCTCCTCCTCCTCCTCCTCCTCCTCCTTCTTCTTCTTCTTCTTCTTCTTCTTATTCTTCTTTTCCTCCTCCTCCTTTGCCTTCCGAAGTGATCCTCCACCCCACCTCCTCTTTTTTCTTCTTTAATTTTACTTTTTGTTTTGGATTCTTTTTTCTTTTTCTTCCATTATACTTATTATTATTTGTTATTAATTATTATAATTACTTCGTATTTGTTAAGGAATGTAGTAAGGTTTGTTGTTAACGAGCTCTTTCTTGTTGGGCTCGTAATTAGGTCTTGGTCTTGTAGCTATTATAAATAGCGGATTTATGTGTAATCAAATCATCAAGTTCAGTTCTAATTATATTTCTACATGGTATCAGAGCCAAATCTTAGAAAGCCTAAACCCTAGTTTGTTGTAGTCTAGCTTCCGCCGTTGCCGCCGTCGCCTATGATTTGCCTGGCGACGGCAGCGTCACTGCCTGTTCTTGTTTCCACTGTCCAAAATTCAACATCTTTCTCTCAATAGTTCAATTTTACTTGTCCAGCCACAAAAAAAAAAAACTGGTCGTAATCAATTTCTTGCTTAATTTTTGTTCAACATCGTTCAACAAATTGGGCACTACCAGTCTCAGTCGTCGTCTCTGAATAGCCATCGTGCAGACACTGGAGGTCGGATCTTCTGGTAGTGTGTAGATCCAAGTTCTTTAAAGTCTACCGATCTGCCGCGTCGCTCAAGAATTGTTCGGCCAAAGACTTGGATCGATCAATTTCACACCAGGAAGTTCCCGATCACAGAAACCTTCGTCTCGATCGTAGGTCTTCTCCCGATCTCATCCCGTTTTGTCCGGAACCGTCTCTATCCCGTTTCCTTCGCTCAATTCCGTTACCGCCGTCACTTGTAGTTTGTCCGGCGGTGGCGGCGGCATCCGCAAGTTTGTCCAGCGACGGAGAGTTCATGGTTGTACTGGGTAAGCCTCAAATTTGGTCCGCAAGTTACAACCACAAATTAAATAGGGTGGGCCACTGCAATTGTCTCGTGGCTCTATTTGTTGGGTTTAATCTGGTGGCATGAAGTTCCTCTCAAAGTTGGTTACTAGTTCTATAGTGATTAATGGATTGGTTTGCTCGTACTCCACGGAAGAAGATTTTCATATTTGGACCGAGCCATTTTGTTGACGTTTTGATGACATTGTTTTTGGTTGTTATTTGGTATGTTCAAGTTCAACCAGCTGTATGTTCGGCATGTATGTTTGTGAGGTTGGTCGCATAGTCGCGCCTTAGTCCGACATATCAATTTGTGAGGTTGGTCGCATAGTCGCGCCTCAGTCCGGCAACACAGCCTCCAAGTTTGGGATGCTTGTTAGTCGTCTCCGTGTCACCGCGTGAGAGCCATTTGTCATCAAAATTTTGTTGTTCGTTTGC